TGTCCTGGGACCGGTGCTTTTCAACCTCTTCATAAATGACCTGGAGACAGGGATAAGCAGTGAGGTGGCCAAGTTTGCAGATGACACGAAACTTTTCCGGTTGGTGAAGACCAGAAGGGATTGTGAAGAGCTCCAGAAGGATCTCTCCAAACTGGGAGAATGGGCGGCAAAATGGCAAATGTGTTTCAGTATAGGAAAATATAAAGTAATGCACAATGGGGCAAAAAATCAAAATTTTAGTAGGTTCTGAGCTGTCTGTGATGCATCAGGAAAGAGCTCTTGGTGTGCTGGTGGACAGCTTGATGAAAGTGTCAACATAGTATATGCTGGCAATGAAGAAGGTGACAAGCGCTGCTCTGGAGGAAGACTAGAACGGGAATCCTGCATTGCTAGTCAGCCATGAGTATGGGGTGCTAGCCCCTGTTGGCGGTGGTGTCTTGAGAGCAGAAGACTCCTCTCAACATACTCCATGAAAGAAATGCAAACAGCCAACATTATACAGTAATGCCATTTTGCAAAATGCTGGTAAGGCCACACCTGGAATATTGCATACAGTTCTGGTCACCGCACCTCAATAAAGACATTGTGGAACTGGAAAAAGTGCAGAGGAGAGCAACTAAAATGATGTCTGGGCTGGGGCACCTCTCTTATGAGGAAAGGCTACAGTGTTTGGGGCTTTTTAGTCTACTCTAGAGAAAAGGCGCCTAAGGGGGGACATGACTGAGATGTATAAAATTATGCAGGGGATGAATAAAGTGGATAAAGGGAAGTTCTTTTCCCTCCCACGCAATACTAGAACCAGATGATATCCACTCAAACTAAGTGTTGGGAAAGTGAGAACAGACAAAAGACAATATTTCTTTTCCCAGCGCGTTGTTAGTCTGTGGAACTCCTAGCCACATGGTTTGGTGATGGCATCTGGCCTAGATGCCTTTAAAGGGGGATTGGACAGATTTTTGGAGGAAAAGTCCATCACAGGTTACAAGCCATGATGGGGATGAACAATCTCCAGACTTAGAAGGAAGGTACATCAAAATGCCAGATGCAGGGAAAAGGGTATCAGGAGAGAGGTCTAGTTGTCTCACGTGCTCCCAGAGTGGGGAGCACATGAGACTGGTGGGGTCACTGTGAGATACAGAAAGCTGGACTAGATGGGCCCTTGGCCTGGTCCAGCAGGGCCTCTTCTTATATTCTTATGAAATCCCTCAAAATTCTTAAAGAGACGCTCTAAACATTATTTTTAAAAGTAACTAGAAAATACAGTATTCTTTATTACACCAGAAAAGACACTCTTTCTCCAAGTATGACAACATTTTGAAATGTTAATGTATTATGACCTCATGATTGAAAAAAATACTAAAAAGGTGGTTACAGGTAACTCTGTCACTTGTAACTTTTTAATATATCCAGGCTTTGTTTTCACAAATGGGATCTCCAGCATTTGATGATGCCACCCCTTGATTCATACACAGAAGAGCCAGCCCACCACATTTTGCTGCTTGAAATGTAACAACAAACGGCACTTCTGAGGTCATATCAATGTGCAAAGTAGTAAAAGCAAGTGGTGTTTTTTTACCATAAGGCAGAAACCCCCCACAAGTGCTTCTATCTAGGTCTAGCAGCCAAAGTATGATAAGAACAATTAAATAATTAAGAATTCGCTGCTTTTCCAGATGCCACAAATCTACTGCCTGAGATGGGCACCTTTGCTCTGTCTAATGGCAGGACCAGCTTTGTTACATGGATCTTACGGAGGGACCCTTGAGACGTGAGACACAAAACCCTCTCCTCGTCTTACAGCAGCTCCTGCTCCCCAGGCTCAGCAGAAAAAGCAGCCTGTCACATGCTGAAGCTTTAATACCACAGCACAAAGGGTGCTTGTTGTTAGTACTGGCAAGAACATGGCACTGACCTGCCTATGACCCTGTCAGTCTTCAGATCAGAAGGGGGCCTGGATGTGCCAGAAGAGCGTTGATCACATCAGGATTCTGGCAAAGGTGCACACGACTACGTACTAAGGAGAGTGTGGCAGCCAGCGACAAGCTCCTCGTTCAGCCCGGCAGGCTGGAGAGAGAGAGAGAGAGCTACCACTCTCATAGCTGTCGCCACCTCCTTGCAACAGTGGCGGAATCAACTGGGTTTGTGACTGAGTTGGATAAACTGATTAAAAATATCTTGTTATTTCAATTCCTGCGGATTTCCATGCAGAATTTTTGTTTTCTGCTTTTTTTAAAAACAGAGGTTGGAAAAGTTACTCTTTTGGCCCAGAACTTCCAGAACGTCCCAACCAGCATGTCTATACTGGCTAGCTAGACAATTCTGGGCGTTCTAATCCAAACTTTTTGCAGGCTCTGGATCATCATAAGGTGTTAAGCAGGGATGTTGGCAAGTCTTTGGTTCCAAGTTCCACGTCAGAATCAGAGTCTTTGGTCCTAAGTCATGAGCCAGAGTTCCTATGAAAAACAACGTGCCCCCCCCCAGGAAAAAAGGGAGAGGTGGGTGGGTCACGAATCAAGCCCTAGACATTGGGGAAACCCTCAAGTCCCCATTCCTGACGTAAAGCACCCTAAGTGAGAAACACTCTGTAGAGAAGACCCTTTCTTCATTGCTACATCAATGCACACAATCCAACACAGCATGCTGTGCTCTGACAGTTCCTACTCTCAATAACTAACTCCCAGGAAAAAAGGGAGAGGTGGGTGGGTCACGAATCAAGCCCTAGACATTGGGGAAACCCTCAAGTCCCCATTCCTGACGTAAAGCACCCTAAGTGAGAAACACTCTGTAGAGAAGACCCTTTCTTCATTGCTACATCAATGCACACAATCCAACACAGCATGCTGTGCTCTGACAGTTCCTACTCTCAATAACTAACTGTCTGGAGGAGTACCGGGCTCACGGATTCTGGCTTGGGGTTTCTTGGAATTATAATAACAATAAATAAATAAACTTTTCCAACCGCTGGATCCAGTCTATACCTAGAGGTACTACCCACTGAGTTTTTCAGAGGCTCGTGAATCGACCCTTTCACTTATCGGGATGAAATTTTCCACCCACCTCTCCTGTCAATGATTAACTGGAAAATGTGGCTGTGTCCAGCCAGAGGCATGCCGGGTGCATTCCAGAAAATTCAAAATGCAGGCAATGAGGGGCCAGGGGAGGCCAAGGGCGGAGAGAGAGCAAGGAAAGTACACATGGTGCCCCTTGGCTTCTTTACGCCAAAAGCTGCTATTCACAAATACAGAAATACATATTTCTTGGAAATGCAACAAAAGTCAGAATGGAAGAAAAAGGCTAAAAAGCAGCCAAAGCAGCAGAACAACAAAGGTTCCTGCATGGGGGCAATTTAGAGCATGCAGTTCAGCGTAGGCATCCAGAGGAGCCTGTGAAGTGGGGGAACTGCCTGCCAAACTGTTAAAATATTGGTCATGATGATCTCTGAAGTGAGGAGAAGTACAAATTAGGGCTATTGTATTTTATTTTCACAAGGCCCGTTCCTTCAACAAAACCTATTCATTGGCATGGTGACTCACACACATCTGTTGTCCCTTTCAAAACAGAATCACCTTGTCATTTTCCTGAGAGCGACTTTCTGGATCCCAGAGGATCAGGCCCTTTGAATGGACAAGTCAATGCAATCAAAAGTGAGCCGTTGTCTCTGCAATATAAGGACTTTGACCTCATGTAAGTCTCACCCATTTACAGTCCCTCCCAGGTGAATGGTGTGCTTTAAGCAATAATAATAATAATAATATTAATATTAATAATAATATTAATATTAATAATAATAATAATAATAATAATAATAATAATGATCATCATCATCATCATCATCATCATCATCACCACCACCACCACCACCACCACCACCACCCACTTGATTTCTTGCATGCTATCTTATTTAAAGGGCCCTATAAAAAACCCAGACACATGGGATGTCAGCTGGCATTATTCAACAAGAGGAAGGGAAGCACTCTGTGTATGTTGAATTACTTCCTCTTCTATCATTACACCACATGTTCCAATGTTAAGCAGTCTTACTGACAGCAACGTCAGAGGGTTAACTGTAGGAGAGAAGGATGCTGCAGTATTACAGATTTATCTAGACTGT